TCAGCTGTATATATTTCTACTTGCCTAACATCACTGACCATGTGCACATTAACTGAGAGAAGTAGTAATTTCATCAGTTCAAATTATTTTGGGAATCTGCAAGCAGATCACCAATCTCACCCTGCACTAAGTTACTGCTAGTTTGGTAACCCTTCTTGAAGTCATTTACTCCTATATACAGGTCCTTAATATTTCCTGTCTTTACTGTTCGATGCCAGCTCATCAATTTTGATAATGCCTCTTCTCAGAATAAAGCGATGCATAACGTTTCGGAGGCTGGTAGAAAGAAGGACAATATTCTCGGGGGGGGGGGAGTAAATCTTGTTAGTCCTTGGGTCCAGGCTCCGATTCCAGTCTTCGGAAGGAAGGATAAATATACCAGGATCATATGGTTCCTCTCAGTTCTTAAAGCTTTGTAATAATGATTCTAGTACAGTCGTGGACATACCCCTGTCTAGCAACAGAGACCACGTCTTTTCTTTGTACTTAATAGCTTTGTACTGCTAACCTCCGAAACGTCGTATCTGTATCCCATTATCTTATTAATACAATTGACGGCGTCCAAAAAATACTCCTATGATGTCATTATATTACTGTCATTTACTTTTAGGGATATTTTAAATAAAAATCTGCTCGCGACTGAACCCATTCACATACTTTGTCGGGTGTGGAGACGGGCGCTCGGCAAATCCGGTGGTGTTAGTAGATTTACAGAAGTGGTAATTCAAGGAATCAAATTCGAAACTGTTAATTTATTGGGCAATGAACATATCGTCCTCGTGAAGAAGTTATAGGACAGAAAAGATGCCTTACAGACTGAGAATTTTTTAGAAGAAAATACACACAGGTAACAAGGGGTTGGAAACAAATTGTAAAACGAGAAACGTCGTTACTTGTACACTACTCGTATGTCAGATATTATTAGGGTGATGAAATCAAGGAGGATAAGATAGGTAACGCATGTATAATGCACTGGGGAAATAATGAATACATAAAAATCACAATCACATCCATTGGACTATGAAACAAATAGCGAATGATGGGATAATGTATTAAAGGCTTTCTCGCTAGTATAGGCATAGGCCTACTCTTGTTGGACGATACACAGATTAACTTCACAAAACATACAAGTCGTCATATAACCTTCAGGCGAACACCGCGTTTCTGTCTTCCTATGCATTTATATCTGGTTTATTTAAGGACGCGGTCAGTAATTCAAACGCTAGAGCGTCAAATTATTTTATGACAGCGAATAATGAATTGAAAAGGATGTGGAAGAAAACGATTGTGGCATAATTTAAGGCATCACCCAGTAATTTTCCTAGAGGGCCCGTGGAAACCGCGAAACTCCCATTCAGGATAATTGATATCCCGGTTGAGAATCGAGCGAGGCCTCTCCGATTGCAAGTCAGAAGCGTTAGTGCCTGAGTCAGCCAACTCGATGCTTTCCCTGTAAACTGTACAGTTTTAATAGCGATAGCAACGTCACTACTTACTGTTTTGTGCTTCGGAAAGTAATAGGATGGTGTGGTACAATAGGCCAGAAGTGGCCGCAGTACAAGGGACTTAGTCCCACCCCACTAGCAATAAAAAAAATAGAATGGTGACAGCTTTGATACAATTGTGCACTGAGGTCTTCTCTTAGCTATAAAAGGACTACACTGCTAACCGATATGGTCTCCCTTGATGCTAATTTTCAAGACAAGCGAATGTAATACCTTGCAGACGTGTTGCCGCGTACCGTAATGTCTCTTAAGACACGGTGATTAAAAACTGACTGGACTGATTAGCGCAGATAATCGGGCTAGGGCCGGCATGCCACAAATGGTCTCCGTCAACCTTTCTCGTATCACAGTCAAGAGAACAGCAAAGCAAAGTCGCCGCCAGACAGCGGAGTCTGATTAGTACAAGAAAAAGACAACAAACTCTTCTGACATCGAAGAAAGCAGTCTTCTGGGATTTGGCACCGTGTATATATGGTGTTAACCGACGTCTCTTCGCTTGCGGGTTTCTTATATTTTTTTCTTCTACCCTGAAGAAGGAGGCGATACGTTCCTCCGAAACGTCGGTTAACACCACATATACACGGTGCCAAATCCCAGAAGATTGCTTTCTTCATAGTCACCGCCGTGAAAGCCTCAAATCTTCTGACAACTTCCGAAGCATATTTATTTAGTCCATCAGATTTCTTGGGTTTGGATTATTTCTTTCTTGTAGCAGTGCGAGTGTCTCCACAGCAGGCGCAACTGTTCACTCTTGGCTACAAAGAACCGACACTAAGTTGCGCCAAACGCGGGCGGAACCTTGAGCAACGCTAATCGCCATAGGCCAAGATTCTATACAACCTCCCTTATAGTTGCGTGTTACTTGATAAGTTTGTTTGTTGGTCGCTTATTTGCAGCTAAATGCCTTGCATATCGTACAACGATAGGACTACCGAAATTCCTTGGAAACTAAAGCGGCTTAGCATGAAGCTGAAATAAGGTCTGACAGTACGGACTAAATTCCACTGTCAAAGGATGAAGTTCAATGGCCGTCTTTTATGAATACGACGATGAGCTTACGGAACAAGAGGACGGGAATTTCTTGAACAGATGAATTACCATCAACTTTTCACGTAAGATCCGGCGCCATGGATCTACTTAATCACATCTGTCCGAAACACTGGGAATCTTTGATGGGAAATGTCCGCGGAACACGATTTGTGGATATCTGAATTCGACATGGCTCCCGTTCTGTCCTTGTAGCCCGCGTTACTGGTCTTGAAACAAATGGGAATTTTCACATGTTGTATATGATATGAGGATATTTCGATTTTAATCACTCACGCAACAGTCAGCAATATAAAGAATGTAAACTGATGAGTGTTTGCGGCATGAACAGAAGCTTGGTGTCGGCAATTTTATAATCAATTATTTATCATCTGTAGATTGGTATGAGGCGCCTGAAGCGTTGGGCCTTGTTATTATTAACGAACCAGTATCAGAACTGTTCTGCATATTGAGTAGGAGGGAGGTTTCCTCGCTGACGATTTCTCCCATCAGCTGCTGACCGGTATGAACAGCACAACAGGAAAGCATTCATCTTCACAGCCAAAACAAAGCGGTCACTCATTTACAAGTCAACGTCAACCAAACGTGAATAAAACAATAATATCCTCTGGGCTAAAAATATCTGGGGGGGTCATATACATAAAAGAGTAATGCACAAAGGAAACAGGTACTGCATTAGAAAGCCTCCAAGAGGCTGTTGCCATGTAAATGGATGTAATAAATAAGGGCAAACATATAAAGTGGTATTACCAGGCAAAATAAATAAATAAATAAAGGGATAAGTAAAAACTTCAGCAGAAAGAGAAACGTATTTAAAAAGAAAGCTAAAATACAAGTCATTTTTCTGTTATATGGTGTAATCGTTCATCATAATTTGGTGGACCCTTTTGTATTAATTAAATTTATATTAAGTTAATATCATGTAAATACAAAGACAGTCTCACCAGTAATAACTACAGCCTCTCAAAGTTTATTGACTTTATTACTCATGCACACTAAAGATTTTTTTCTACATGCCTATCAGATACCAAAACTACAGTGAAAGGAAAGTAGAGATTAGTTCTTCACAGAAGTTCCTGTTTTAATCTCCTTATTATAGTCAGTATAGCAAATGGCTGCGGGCCAGATGACCAAGGGGTTGGAGTTTGTCCCAGTAGGGTCATGAATTTTTCTCTGCTCCACAGCATCCAGACTGGCTCTGGGGTACACCCAACCTCCTATTCAATGGGTACTGTGGGATCTTTTCCATGGAGGTAAAGCAGCAGGGGCACAAAGCTGACCACTCACCTATAACTAATGCCAAGGTCAAGAATGGCGAAGCTTTAACTCCACTCTCCTATACACCTTCATGGTGTGGTATGGTGCACAATTAATTAAGCCCAGGGATGATTCTACCCGTTTTACCTTTACCTTTAATAAAGAATGACCTGACAAATGAACACTCTGCCTGATGGATTCACAATATATTATATGACACTACTCCAACTACAAACGTTGCAACAGCATCAACAATTATGAAGGAATCCATTATGAGATTATGTTATTTACAGAACACTAGACATAACAGAATTAGAAAAGTTATTAAATCAGGAAATTCTATCTCTGATCAGTACAGTAACTAGGTTACAGCCTGGCAGACTAAGAAATTGGAGTCCCATTACCATCAAACAAACAAACTCCGTGGTTTTTGTCCGCAAGCAAACTATACCAACCCAGCGACCGCCACTTGTCGGCAAAGTTAGTCTCAAATTTAGTGGATAAAGGGTGTCGCGTCATCAGCAAAGTGAATCCCCATGGCAGTTAATTTCGGTTTTCTAGACCAGAGCCGCTATTTCCTTGAAATAGCTCCTCAATTATCATCACGAGGCTGAGTGGATACCGTTCCAGACCCACTATTTCTCAGAAAAAAATTTGGTAGCGCCGTGAATCGAACCTGGACCTCTAGATCTGTAGCCAAGAACTCTGGCCACTAGACAACAGAGGCAGTCCGAATTACTATCAGCAGCACAAATTCATCTCTTGTTCACAGCATCCAGATCAGCATTACAGACCATCCAATTTCCTACTTACTGCATATCAGGATTATTTCCTTTTAAGTAAAGCAGTCAAAGTATGAAGGCAATCCTCAGATCCAACTGAGGCTAAGTTTAAGAATGCATGGAGCTACATCTCAACTCCCTGATATGTCTTCATGGCATGGTGCTTAATTAAGCACAAGAACAACTTTTGATACTAGTTGATTAGTCCCTATTTGTCAGCATCCTTCAAAACTGAACTTCATGCTCATCACCACCTGGAAGCCACGTACTAAGGAAATGGGTTAGTCAAAATATCCACCGGGAGAAACTGGAATTTAGGGCATGGCCATGCAGATCTGAGAAAGGTTAGTCACACTGGAATGCTGACATCAATTTAAAAATTCAGAAATAATTGATACATTAGACAAAATAAAATGAAACATAAAAAATGCATGAAATAATGTTGCTTACAAAAATACAAAATCTGGGTTCTTATATAAAATGGATTCCCAATAATTTAGTATAATTATATGTAGTTCACAGACAACTGAAGTTACACGGTTCATAATGGCGAGGAAAAACACAATAAAGGTCATGTCAAACCTCTCCTCCAAGTAGGTACTTGTCTGAAAAAGAAAAAAGCCATACAATTAGATATTTTTCTTTTTCAATTCATTTTGGCTAAGAACTAGCATTACAACACAAGCTTGGATGGCTCAAATCAGTAAAGAGCATGACCATGTGGTGAACAATGAGGACTCAATTCCTATCAAGTACAGGAATTTTTCTCTTTGCCACCACACTGAAACCAGAACTCTAGGGCCTAGTCAGCCTCCATTCCAGTGGAGTACCAGAACTTCTTTCCCCCACTTGTAAAGTGGATGGAGCAGGAAGCTAGTCACTCACTTCTGCCCACTGCAGAGTTCTACCTACGAGGGGGTACCCAAAAGAAACCGAACTTATTTTTTTTAAACTTATTTATTCAAATTTTAAGCACAAACCTTCAATCCCCTTCAAAGTACTCTCCACTTACACTAATACACTTGTCTAGTCTTTTATTCCATTTTTCAAAACATTGTCTAAATTCATCTTTTGAGATGCTTGACAGCGCCTCCGTCGTTTTTTCCTTCACCTCAGCAACATCAGCAAAACGCTTTCCTTTCATGTCTCTTTTCATTCGAGGAAACAAAAAAAAAGTCGCACGGGGCAAGGTCGGGTGAGTATGGAGGGTTATGAACAGGGTTCATACCATTTTTGGTCAAGGATTGTCGTACAGACAGGGCTGTGTGAGCAGGGGCATTGTCATGATGGAAAAACCAGTCACCCGACTGCTCCAAGTCACTCCCGACAGCTCCACAATTTCTTCAATGGTCCATTGTCGATCTTCCTTGATGATTTCACAAATTTTTTCAACATTTTCATGTGTTCAGGCCATGGAAGGACGACCAGAACGAGGTTTGTCATCAATTGACATTTCACCATTTTTGAAACAGGAAAATCACTCAAACACTTGAGTTTTCCCCATAGCATCGTCCTTGTATGCCGTTTTTAACATTTCAAGAGTTTCTGTTCCACTTTTCTCGAGCAAAAAGCAGAATTTCATCGCCGCACAAAAATCAGCCATTGCAAAAACGACGATCACACAAAACAGTTGTCACTATAAACTCTGCCGAAACTAGTCCTTACCTTCTGAAGCAACGTTAGTCGGCTTATCGACTCACGAATGTTAGCTCTATGCGCTCACAGCGGCAAAACACGGTACTACAAAAGCTCTGCCCACAAAAAAATTAGTTTGATTTCTTTTGGGTACCCCATCGTATATATCTTCATGATCTGGTGCTTAGCACAGGGACAGCTTCACCTTTTTAACTTTCCATGACCATGGTATAAATGACAAAGTAATGTGACCATGAGAAAAATGATCTCATAGTTTCAGCAGATTTACACCTTTTGAGCACCCTGTGAATATGAAAAAGTGGTTTCTGGAATGCTGTATGTATGTGTGTGACTAGCACCTCAATGGTTGGAGAGATTTTATCAATATTTGATATTCAAGAGCTTGTCTGTCAGTGCCTGACAAATGTGAAATTCCTAGCTCCAAAACTGGGGCCTTTCAGATGAACCCAGCAAACCGAAATGGTGATTAACTAGAAAAGAGTGCTAATGATTCTGATTAAATTTTAGAATTTATGCAGACCATTGCCCCACATGAAACTGCATAGGCTGTATCTTCAGGAAAATAATGGTACACACACTCCAGGTCCACACATAAAATGTTGATTTTGTCAAAAACCACCTTTGACCAATTAGGGTTCTATTCCTGGCAGACAATGTCCAGAATACTCTGGGGTCCACAAAACGTTTATACAATGGGTACTGGGGGCTGTTTCCTTGGGGTAAATTGGCAGAGATATGAAGCTGACGACTCACCTCAGTATACCGCAAAACGTTAACAATTGTGCAGCCAAATCTACACACCCTCACATGTCCTCATGGTGTAGTGCTTAATTAATTATGCCCAGGAATAACTTTATGAATCAGGGTACCCTGAAGATGAAGATAGCAAATTCCACTGAAACAATGGTACCTATCCAGCAAACTTCATGGTGCCTCATCCCAGAATACTGTGATCTTATTACTTTTACTGTGTTCATGCATAGCACTATAAGAAACTGTTTATGTAGAGAGAAAGTATGATTTTAGCCCCCATAACACAGAGACTGGGATCCAACTCACAGTCCATTCAAGTTTCTACTTCTCTTAAACAGTCACTTACAAATGAGGCATGTTCCGAAGATGAAGGACTGGAACTGCATGACTGAAAGTGTCTCTTTTAGTCTTCTGATTGCAACGTTCACGCCAAGCAGCTGTAGGCTTTAAAAGACGTTCAGGATCTCTGTCTATGTTTACTTCCTCTTTTGGAATGTGAACCTGTTTCTTCCTTTGTTCTTTCTTTAGTGTTTGCTGTTCACGTTGCGACAGCTGACGAGCAACAAATAACTGATCCCGCTCCCTGGAACATGAAGTACAGCACAAAGTTTACCAGTGAAAATTATGTCCAGGTGTATCCAAAAATATGGGAAGTATTATTAGACCTCCTCCAGTCCTGTGCACAAGATTACATGTTCCAGTAACCTGTGAACACCAATGTACGCTGGAGAGTATTTTAATGTCTCAGGGTTTACATCTCAAAGACTAAATCGGGTGTTCAGTTTGTGTCGCTGCTGGTTATTTTGTGGTTTTCTTCAGTCCCTCCTAATTCCAGGACAACAGCTTGATACAATCCACAACCACTTCCTTCCTTACCCTTTTCTATTCATCATTCATTAATCATCCTACCATTAAATGCCATACAGCCAGAGTCACTGATAGTACTGTTAACAATAAATGAAAGGAAAACAGAAATGGTTGTGGAAGTTCCTTTGATCAAGAAATATGAAACTTAATTAACTGTGAGGCTAATGGTAACTTGTGCGCATAATATATAAAATCACGACACTATATAGATTCAGTAGTGAAAGCACTGCTAAATAACCCACTAAAAAAATAATATATAAAACCATTAAGAAGTCCTTTAAGTAATTTTGAAGTTTATAAAAGCTTTGAAAGTATGTTTATATTATGCACACAAAATATGTTAACGTACATACAATCCAAAGGATTATGTCCACTACCTGAAAGCTTTACGCAGAATGTTTGCCTGGACAACACGTTCCTCTATTTCACGCAGCTCTCTCAACTGCTTAACTAACATCCTAGCCTGTTGTTCATGGTGCTTCTCTTCCTTATAACACTCAACTTCCAATTTCTTCAATGCCTTAAATGAAAGGGGCAACACAATTATTTAACCTGCCTAAGTAAGTATGCATTATTAATCCTGAAGCGGGAAAAAATTACATTTAAAACACAGTGGAACCTCATTTAACGAGCAAAACAAATTGTAAAAAAATGACTCACTTAACCAGCGACTTTTCGCATAACGAGTGACAAGAGGGGAAGTCCCAGATTGTGCGCTTGCTACATCAGTCTGCGTTTAGCACTCGTTCCGCTAGCATCTTAGTGTCGCTTGTGATCACACATTTTTCCAAACTTGTGTTCAGACATATTATCTGTGATTTTTTTGTGCAAAGTTTAATAACCCTTGGTAAAATGTCTCCGAAGAAAAAGCCGCAAAAAGACAGCCATATGAGAATAAAAATAATCGTAGAAATGAAACGTAAAATCATTGAAAAGCGAGAACGAGGTGTGAGCGTGGCTGATCTAGCATGCACATACAGTCGGTCTACATCAACGATTTGCACTATCCTCAAGAACAAGGACAGGTTTAAGGAGATAGATGCTTCAAAGGGAGTGACAAGAATATCTACCCAACGGTTATGTATTCTTGACGATTTTGAAAGGTTGCTCCTCATATGGATAAACGAAAAGCAATTGCAAGGTGACACTATTAACGAGAACATCATTTGCGAGAAGGCGAAAGTGATTTTCGCCAACCTCGATAAGAAGACACCATGATCATCAATGGCTGAAGAAGAAGAATTTAAGGGAAGCCATGGGTGGTTTGAGAAGTTTAAGAGAAGAACCGGCATCCACAGTGTTGTAAGGCATGGTGAAGCAGCAAGCTCTGACACAAAGACAGCAGAGAACTTCATCGGCGACTTCAAGAAGCTTGTAGATTCTGAGGGTTACCTGCCGCAATAGGTTTTTAATTGTGACGAGATGGGTTTCTTCTGAAAAAAGATACCGAAGTGACCCTATATAACAGCAGAGGATAATGCATTGCCTGGCCATAAGCGAATGAAAGACCGTCTCACACTGCTATTTTGTGCCAATGAAAGTGGCGATTTGAAAATTAAACCGCTGCTTGTTTACCATTCAGAAACTTCAGGAGCCTTCAAGAAGTGTAAAGTCCAGAAGAGCTGGCTAAATGTGATGTGGAGGTCCAACAACAAGGCTTGGGTGACACGTGACCTTTTTACTGTTTGGATCAATGAAGTGTTTGGTCCTCCTGTGAAAAAATATTTGCTTGAGATGAATCTGCCACTCCTTTACAAAGTAGATAACTTTCAGTCCAGTATGACATACAGGTTTACAACACTTCAGTCTTTATTCGCCTTACATGTTTCGATTCAAAAGAATCATCTTCAGAGGCGCACCACTACGAGCAGGAAACACTGTCACATAAGATGTTTTAACATTATGCACTTAGGTTATGAATAGTGCTCACTATATCACAGTTTGCCCTATGCAGCCACGTTGACATGTAGATTTACGTATGATGTTTGTTTAAGCGTATTTGCTGGGTGTTCGATTGGGGTTTCCCACAGCACGCAACGTGATGTTCACTTTTCCATAAAATAGCTTCCCTATGTATTTAAAATTGTACTAAAAATCTTTTGTACGCAAAAAATTTGTTACTATGTTAAAAATCATGAACCAGCATTGGGTCATGTTGTTTTTGTTCTGGATGGTAGAAGATGTCGATTATTTCTCTTGGTTGTATGTTCTTACTTTCAGTTGTGTAGTTTACGTGTGTGCTGTGTCGTATGTACTGCCACTCCATGTCTTGCTTGTTATGGACAACGCTCCTGCCCATCCTCCAGACCTACAAGATGACCTCCTTGAAGAATTTAAATTCATCAAGATCCAGTTTCTGCCTCCCAACACCACTCCGTTATTCCAGCCTATGGACCAGCAGGTTATTTCTAACTTTAAGAAGCTGTACACTAAAGCACTCGTCGAGCGTTGTTTTGAGGTGACTGAAGGGACCAATCTCACCCTCAGAGAGTTTTGGAAATACGTATCACTTCCACATCGCTGCCTGCCTCAAGATGATCGAAAGGCGTGGGAAGGGGTTACCAAGAGAAACCTCACTTCTGCTTGGAAGAAGCTTTGGCCGGAGAGCGTTGTCGAATGTGACTTTGAGGGGTTTGAGATAGTACCTGTGGAGCCTGTAGTCAACGAGATTGTGTCTTTGGCCAAGATCATGGGGCTGGAGGTGGATAACAATGATATCGATGAGCCTGTGGAAGAGCACAGCCAAGAGCTGAC